TGCTGTGGAGCGTTGATTGAACGATATTATTACTGGTGTGTCAAGGTCTGAAATGAGCTTTTAATTTCATGTTTGGAGTCAAACATAGACAAAGAATACATGAGTCCTTGAATCTCATCTTGTGGACATACATGTGTGTATGCGTGCATGTATGCTTGTTCATTATACTGGTGCAACGTATGCGCTTTCATACCTTTACCTTTGTATTTTCCATGTATTAAATGTGCTCAATGAGCAAAGCTGCCTTCAAAAACGTGAAAGACCTGCAATTATATGAGAACTGATTAAACTCTTCTGGATGATGACGGCCAAAGAACGAAAAGCTGCAGTGCTCAGTGAAACTGCAAACAAGCCCAGTGCTTCATCTCTGACTCTACAGGGTCCGCTAAGCATGTAAAAGGTTAAAGTTCATGACAGTGCAGTCAGAAAAAAACTGAACAAGTATGGCTTGTTTGCAAGGTTTGGCAGCAGAAAGCCTCTTTTCTCTAAATACAACACGGCAGCGCAACTGAGGTTTGCAAAGTTGCATCTGAACAAACCACAAGACCTCTGATACAATGTCTTTTGGACAGATGAGAACACACAGAATATCAGCTAAAACATTTCATATGGACTGTTGAGCACGACGGTGTAGCGGCAATGATTTGCGCTTGTTTTGCAGCCATAGGATCCAGACACCACGCAGTCAATGAGCCAACCATGAACTCCTCTTTATACCTAAATATTCTAGAGTCAAATGTGATCCATATGTCCAACAGCAAACCTGCAAATCTACAGCAGAGTGGCTGAAAAGGAAAGAATCAATGTGTTGCAATGGCCCAGTCAAAGTCCAGACCTCAACCTGATTAAAATACTGTGGGAAGACTTAAGAGAGCTGTGCACAAACAAACACTCGTAACCCACAATGAGCTGAATCAAGAGCGGGCCAAAATATCCCCAAAACAACTTGTGAGACTGATAAAGTCATGTAGAAAACCATTACTTCAAGTTATTGCTGCTAAATATGCTTCTACAAGCTACTGAATCATCGAGTGTGCTTTGTTTTTCACACACTGCTTCTTCATTTTTACTTAAATAAATAATGACACTGTTTAATACGTCATGTGCTGCGGTTCATCCTGGGTGTATTTACCTAATCTTAGGACTTCTTATGAAGTTGTGTTAGTTTGAGAGTGTAGAGCGATGTATGAGCTGACTCTCATACTGAGGAGGTGTTTTACTAAAACAGTGAAAGTTTGTCTGTGTCAGAGTTATTTGGGTTTGTTAATAATTTAATTTGGTTTTAATTAATTTGGTTTTTCAGCTCAGTTTAGTTTCAATTAGCGTCTGGACTGGGTTTGTTTGTTTCAATTTAGTTTTTATTGTTTCAGCATCTGTAATGAAGGTGCATCACTTTGTAAACAGCAGATATTTGCACATGATTAACTCTGACACTGTCAAGATGAAAGAAGTCGCCCAACAAGCAGATTTATGAGATTTTAGCTGATACTGGTGAATTACTGCTCTTGGAATTAAAATATATCCTATTATGGTGAGTTTGGTTAGGTCAACAGAAAATTATTATTTTAATTTGTCCCTGAGGTGATGTGAGGCAAAGCCGTTTAAATTAATGAGTGAAACATTTGAAAAAGTTTCAGGTGGCTATAGAGGAGAGGGTTCGAATGAGTACATAACCTCTAATTGTAGACCAGGAAAAAATTTTTATTTATCAGTTATTCTTTTTATGTTTTTTTTTTTTTTTTCCTTTTTTATCTTATTCCTGATTTTATGGTAATAGAGTTTATTGAGAAGTTGTGTTTTCAATTTAAGGAGCTTGGAAATACAGTGCCTGGACTTCTTAAGGTTAAGGTGAAGACGTTTCACCTCTCATCCAGGAGGTTTCTACACAGACATAGTGTATGAAGGGTTAATGGGGATTAAAGATCAGATGCAGGTGCTAAAATCAAATGCCACCTGTGGGCAACATGGTTTCATTCTGTATTGTTGTTCTCAGGATCTCGCCTTTGCTTTTTGTCTCTGATGTGCTTCAGCTGGCTTGATTGAGCCATGACGTCCAGCTCATACTGGGGTGGTTTGCAGCCAAGTGTGAAGCTGTTGGGATGAAAATTAGTACCTCCAAGTCTGAGGGTGGAAAAAGAGTGGAGTAGCCACTCTGGGTAAGGAACAAGTGGAGCAGTTTAGCATCATGAGTGAGGGGAGATCTGCAGCGATGCTGAACTGGTGAAGATGAAAGTGAAACTGTCAGTTTAGTGGTTGATCTATATTCATACCCTCACTTATGCCCACAAGCTTTTGATACTGATTGACAGAAGGAGACTGCAGACACAATCAGCAGAAAAAAGCTTCCTTCAGAGGGTGGCTGGACTCTCCCCTAAAGATGGGATGCAGAGCTCAGTGATTCAGCAGAAACAGCCATTAATCCTTTGCATCCAAAGGAGAGCTGAGTTGTTTTGTACTCGGATGTCTCCTGGACACCTCTTGGGTGAGGCGTTTTGGAGATGTCCTATTGGGAGGAAAACTTGATTGCATCTCTCGGGTGGCTTGGTGTCCCCCTGAATGAACTAGAAGGGGGTGGTTGAGGAGAGGAAGGTCTTCTTTGCTTCTCCACAACCCTGATCCAGACTTGGATAAGTGGGAGTGGAAGATACAACTTTGATATAATTTTGAGATCAGCGGTGCATCATGCATGTTGTGTTGATCAATTTAACCAAATTGACAAATGCTTAAATTTTAAATTTTTCTCATGTATTTCTATTTTATTTTAGCTTGTTTTGTAAGTATGTTACCTTCAAAGGTTTGGCACTATGTACACAGATCTGTGTTTCCGAACAAACAACACATTTGCATTTATTTGAAATAACAATAAATTGATCATAAATTATGCAAGTGACTATTAATGATTCATTGAATTATTCATCCTTATTGATTTTTCATCAAGAATCCATTTTCAGCAGCCATCACTCAAGTGTTCCTCAGCCATATTGTGTTCCCTGATGTTAAAAGACTTATTGAGCTTAAGGAAAAATAACAACTTTTCCATTTGTGTTAGCACTGTTAAATTTTCCTCCATCCAAAGTCTGTATTTTTTAAAATTTTAATATTTTCTATTTACAATACTAGAAAACAACTAGTAAAGGGGAACTGAGGAAAACTAACAAAAAGTTTTCAGAATAGAAAACTTTTTGTTAGTTTTCCTCACACTGGGGCCAGCAACATATAAGCACATGAGATACACAGCAAACACAATATAGAAACCTGGAGAAACCTGGTGGAGTTGGAGCTGCAAGGTGACTCAGAGTCAAGGTTCTGATGTAATCTGATGTTCTGCTGCTTAGCTGAGACACCAGGGTCTCCCACTTCTTTTTTTTCTAAGGTTAGACCCCCTCCAACCCTCCACACATGTGATTTAACAAATGCGGTGCTCAAAAACAGCAGGAACATTTTCAAGTATGCTAACATAAATTAGCCCCCAATAAATTTTCATTGGGTAACACAGTGTTTAACTGAAACACAGGAATGACTGCTAATAATAGACACTTTTGTGCCTCTGTATAGATAATCCATTAAAATCATGAATGATTCACTATGAATGACTCCATTAATTTTCATTTACACCATTTCTTCTCAATTCAATGTAATTTCTATAGAAAATAAATGTTTTTTTTTATTTAAAACAAGAACATTATAGAACCTCAGATGGGTTTTTTGTTTTGTTTTGTTTTGTTTTGTTTGTTTCGTTATTTCACACGCACATGCCAATTTTAAAAACACCTTTAGACCTTTTCATTTTGGAAATGCTTTTATTGTTAAAGACAGATCATTTTTACATGTGGATCATTTTTGTATAGAGTGATGAGAAAAAGTCCATGTGCCACTTCTCATTTCTTTATATTTTGCTTGAAAAAAAGGGAATTGGCAGAGTGATTTACTGGCGCATGTGCAAATATATATAAATACATGTATATACAGCATATATGATCAAAGATTGAGTTTGTACTCCATTTTCAATCCATTTATTCTATCCACGTATGCTTTTACTGAAATGACAGTGTGTTTGGTTTCATTGTCATGCTGAAAAATGAAGATCAGAATCAGAATCAGAATCAGAATGGGGTTTATTGCCAGATGTTGAGGTTTACAACATTAGGAAATTGCTGCGGTGCTTCAGTGTAAACAATAAGAATTAAAGTGCTATGTAGAAAGAAAGATATGTGCATGAGATATACATGAGATA